CCTCTGGGGGCCCTCGCCGGGGCCCAGGGGCGGCCACCGGTCCGGGGAATGGGTTGAGATCGCAGGCCTAGAGGTTGACACCAATACCAATATCGGTTGTGTTCCTCTTCCGAGGGAAGAGGACCCCGATCTCGGTGATGGTGGTAATGTTATGACTTCCAAGGTAACCGGAATATTACCACCAACACCGAAATCGAGGATCATCTTCCCCCAGTGGAGGCAACCCCCTGTATTGGTGTTGGTGCCAATTTCCAGGCCTCCAATGAGACATCTGGGGGTCTGCGTCTTAAAAAAATGAGAAAATCGGGGGACTGCTTCAGGCAAGGGGGGGAAACATACCCCCATCGCCGATGCATCGCCCATGCATCGCCCATTCGTCGCCGATAGGGGCCCGATTGTTTTTGTTCCCGCCCGGTGACGTGTGGATTCGCTGTTGCGGGCTTCTCGCCGATCTATCGGCGATGATGCATCGCCGATTCCAGGGCGACGCTTCCCCCCTGGGCTGGTCCCCCCCCCTATCGTTACCCGTCGCTTCTGACAAACAGGCAGGCCCAGGACAGGGACAAATCGTTCTGGAGCGCTCTGGAACAGCCGCGGCGCCCGATAATCGCCGAATCTCAAAGATCTCGATTTGCCCTGGCCCGATTTTTTCCCTGTCCTGGCCCATTCTGAGACAGCCCTCCGCCGCCAGAGTTCATCTGACCACTGGTTCGTGTTTCTTGCTATGATGGGGCCGCTCGAACTGGACGACAGCGCAAAACATGGGAATGCGGCGTGAAATCATTTTGCTTTGAGTTTGGGATCGGCGACTGGAAAGAGACAGCTGGAGACTCCAACGCATGGAAGCGCACGGAGGAAGATTACCCGAGTCACGCGGGTGCATGCTAGCTTTGCCTCCTTCCGCCCCCCCTCCTCTTCCCCCTGCCCCTGTTTGAGTAGAGTTTGGGTAGATGGGGTCGAAGGACCGCTCTGCATCGCCGATGCATCGGCGTGTGGCTCGATGTGGAGGCACGGTTTTTTTCACGTTGACGTCGCCGATGCATCGCCGACGCATCGGCGATGCATCGGCGATGCGGCGCGATCCTCCGGCCCCATCTGCTCGGACCCCTTGCGGGAGGCATTTGCAGGAGCAGACCTCGAACCAAGCTTAAGTCGGGCGTGTCCCTCTACAGGGGGAATATTCAAACATAGTAAAAGAAATAGTCTGGGGACGATTTTTCCTTTTTTAAGATTTATTAGCCTGGCGAAGAACCCAACCATATGCAGTTGTCAGTACCGCAGCTGCGGGTTTCATCTTCAATGGAACTCCCCATAGGACTACGGAACGTGTGAGGGGTGTGCCGAGATGGGTGCCACTGGGGCATTCGGCGAAGCTCCCTATGGGGACATGAAACACGCGCGGGGCGTGCCGACATGGGTGGCGGAAACGCATGTGCGGGCCGCCACTGGGGCCTCCAGTGGAGCTCCCTATGGGTCCCCGAAACATGATGCTGCTGCGGGGGGGGGGGCCGGGATGGGTGGCGGAGACGCATGTAAGCGCCGCTACTGGGGCCTTCGGTGGAGCTCCCTATGGGGCCACGAAGCGCGTGAGGGGTGTACTGGGATGTGTGGCGGGGACGCATGTGAGCGCCGCCACTGGGGCCTTCGGTGCAGCTCTCTATGGGGCCACGAAACGTGTGAGGGGTGTGCCGAATTGGGTGCGGGTGGTGACGCATGCGGGCGGTGCCACTGGGGCCTTCGGTGGAGCTCCCTATGGGGCCACGAAACCTGTTGTTGTGAGGGGCGTGCCGGGATGGGTGGCGGGGACGCATGTGAGCGCGGCCGCTGGGGCCTTCGGTGGAGCTCCCTATGGGGCCACGAAACGTGTGAGGGGTGTGCCGAATTGGGTGGGTGTGGGTGACGCATGAGAGCGCCGCCACTGCTGGGGCCTCCGGTGGATGATGGGGCCACGAAACCTGTCAGGGATGTGCCGAAATGGGTGTGCGGGACGCATGCGCATGTGAGCGCGGCCGCTGGGGCCTTCGGTGGAGGTTCCTATGGGGCCACGAAACGTGTAAGGGGTGTGCCGAATTGGGTGTGCGGGACGCATGCGGGCGGCAGCACTGGGGCCTTCGGTGGGGCTTCCTATGGGGCCACGAAACGCGTGAGGGGTGTGCCGAATTGGGTGTGCGGGACGCATGCGGGCGGCAGCACTGGGGCCTTCGGTGGGGCTCCCTATGGGGCCACGAACGTGTGAGGGGTGTGCCGAATTGGGTGTGCGGGACGCATGCGGGCGGCAGCACTGGGGCCTTCGGTGGGGCTCCCTATGGGGCCACGAAACGTGTGAGGGGTGTGCCGAATTGGGTGTGGGACGCATGCGGGCGGCAGCACTGGGGCCTTCGGCGGGCTCCGGCCACGAAGGGGTGTGCCAATGCGGGCGGGCACTGGGGCCTTCGGTGGGGCTCCCTATGGGCCACGAAACGTGTGAGGGGTGTGCCGAATTGGGTGTGCGGGACGCATGCGGGCGGCAGCACTGGGGCCTTCGGTGGGGCTTCCTATGGGGCCACGAAACGTGTGAGGGGTGGTTGGGTGTGCGGGACGCATGCGGGCGGCAGCACTGGGGCCTTCGGTGGGGCTTCCCTATGGGGCCACGAAACGTGTGAGGGGTGTGCCGAATTGGGTGTGCGGGACGCATGCGGGCGGCAGCACTGGGGCCTTCGGTGGGGTCCCTATGGGGCCACGAAACGTGTGAGGGGTGTGCCGAATTGGGTGTGCGGGACGCATGCGGGCGGCAGCACTGGGGCCTTCGGCGGAGCTCCCTATGGGGCCACGAAGCGGTGTACTGGGTGGGTGAAGAGGAGAGGAGGAGAGGAGGCGAGGAGAGGAGGAGAGGAGAGGAGGACGCGGGGACCGTCTCTTCAAAACGAGGACCCAACACCACAGGATGGTTGGGGGAAACAAATATCTTTGAATATTTCTGAAGTATTTTTGGAGTACTCCGGATTTTTCGTCCACAATCCGCCTGTAGGGGGACACGCCCGACCTAAAACTAAGCAGAAACACGATTCCAGCTGCCTGGGGCAGGCCCTGGCCCCGTGCGAGCGCAGCACTCAGTGTGGCGACGCTTCGGGCGCCGCCGAGAATAGAATGCAACAACATTTGGCATCTCCTTGCGGGCTGCCGGGCCGTCCTGGGGCTTTCTTGGGCTCGCAATCGCCCACGGATCGCCGATAGGGGTCTGGGTCTGATAGCCCCACCCTGCTCAGGAGCGTGCAGGTTCGCCATCGCGGGCCACTCGCCGATGTATCGGCGATGTGTCGTCGATCCTAGGTCCATGTCCCCCCGCCTGAGCCAGTCCCCCCTCCCCCGTTGTCGTTGCACCTCAAGATTGACAAAACACCTCCCCGCATGGTCTTCTCATGACCCGAGCGTCGTGCGCCGCCGTGGCCGTGGCCCTGGGCTGCGGGCGAGGCGGCGGCGCGCCGGGCCGCCCGCGCGGGCCCGCAGCGCCCGCCGCGCGCCCATCGAGAGAGAGAGAGAGAGAGTGAGAGACTGGGCGCAGCCCTGTGATTCGACGTCGCGGACAAAACAACCAGGACATCGCCAGGAATCAGGACCGGAGCCCCCGACCCCCCCGACCTCCTCAGGTCATGACGGGAGGGTTTTCGCTGCTTCTGGCCTTTGAGGGCCCTCGCCGGGCTTCGGGGCCGTCACGGAACGACTCGGGATGAAAAACCAGTCCCCAGAAAGGGGTCCAGAGCAATGCGGGTCCACGTCATGAAGAACTAAAAGTCGGGGGTCTGGGAGGGCTTTTGAGACATCACCGAACATCACGACTGGAGTTTCCGACCCCACCTCCTTGCGCCTTTTTCTGGGCGGGTCGGGTCGATCTGCGAGGGTCCGGCCCCCGAAAGCGGGCGCAACCGCTCGGCTCGAACAAAATTCAGACGCCAGGATCCCCAGACCCCCGACGTCATGATCTTTCATGACGTCGACCCCTAGAGGTCTGGACCCATTCCTGGGGACTGGTTTCTCACCCCGAGTCGTTTTTTGACGGCTCCGAGGCCCAGTAAAGGCCCCAGGGGGCCGAACATCGCGACAAGCCTCCCGCCGTGATTCTCGGGCTTACGCCGCACCGCCGACCCCTTGGGGGTGTAGTAGATAACTGCCAGTGGGGGCCTCGTGTGGGCCCTTTGGGGGTCTGATGGGCCTCGTGGGTCTGGGTTGCGGGTTTGACGCCCTTCGGATGGCTGATGGGGTCGCGTGAGAGGCGCGTCGGGAGCGTCATGGAGGCAGGTTTTGAACCTGTTGGGGGCCTCTTGGCGGCGTCTGTTGGCTTTGGGGGGCCTTTTGGCGCTCTCTGGAAGTCTCTTTGAAGCTTTTCGGGGACTATTGGGGGCATCTGGGGGGCGGGAGCTCGAAATGTGCGTTCGGGCTCTCTCTCTAGGCCTCCCCTTGGGGCCGTCCTCGGGGCCTCCTCGGCTGTCTTGGAGGCTTCTGGGGCAGTCTTGGGGCCCTCGTGTGCCGTCTTGGAGCCCTCTTGGGGGCCTCTTGGTCTGTCTTGGGTCGATCTTGAAGGCCGGTTCGACCTGGGTGAGCCTCATGAGAGCACTAGCGGCGAATGCGCCGAGAATGTATGTTTTCCCAAGAGATGGGGGCGATTGTTTCTCCATGAAGGCCTCTTGGAACGCGCCGACTTCTTGGAACGTCCTGCGGGCCTCTGGGGCCGTTTGGGGCCAATCTTGGGCGTCTTGGCGCGATCTTCCAGCGACTCGTGCCCCTCTTGGACCTTCCAGGGGCCCTCTTCGGGCCCTCTTGGCCCGTTTTGGGCCCCCCTGCCCTTCATGGCGCGCTCGGGCGGTCCCGGGGGGACCCCCCCCTCCAAATCGACCGGACTGGGGTCCCAGGGGAGGGGTTTGGGGAGGGGGAAGCATCTCACACGCCGATGGACCTCAAGGGGCGGAGTCTTCCCTCCTCGAGGGGGCCCGGGCCTCCAGGGCTGCGCGTGGGGGAGCCCCCAGGCGGCCGGCAAGAAGGCGGCCGGCCGCCCGCTGGAGGACCCCGCGGCTGGCAGCGTCGTCTCCCGGCGGCGACCCCCTCGAGCGGTGAAAAGGAAGCCATGGCGGGAGGCCTTTCGCGACTTTCGGCCTCGACGGGGGCCCTTGTGCGGGGCCTCGGGGGCCGTCACAACACGGCTCGGGGTGAGAGGCCGGTCCTGGGTAATGGTCGGTATCGGTTCACCGATCCCCATCCCCATCCCCATCCCCCTCGAGACCCCCCCCAAATTACCACCCTAGCTGGGGATACACCCTTCGAAACCCGAAGGGAACGGCTTTGGTTGAAAGGCCGCTCCCTCCTCCTCCTCCTCCTCCTCCTCCTCCTCCTCCTCCTCCTCCTCCTCCTCATCCTCCTCCCCCTGCTCCTGGGTAACGGGTCGAAATCCCCCTGGGGGTCGACACGTCGACGTCGCCGATGCGTCGCCGATGCATCGCCGATGTATTTGTGATGCATCGGCGGTGCGGCACGATCCTCCGACCTTGCTCGGACCCCATCCAGGAGGCCTCTTAGAGCAGACGCATGTCTCGGGCGATGCAGTGGGGAGCAATCTGCTTTTCGTGAGGTCTTCTTCACGCTCCGCGTATCCCCACCAGCGGGCTTGCGACTCGCCCGTGGTCGCCACTTCTGCCCGCCCCCCTCTTGGCGATCCGGAACTCCTCCGTTGAGCGCCTGCATGCCCGCTCGTCGTACTCGTTGGTGACGCTTCCGCTCACGCTCCCGTTTGGCGATCCGGAGCACTTCCGTCGAGCGCCTGCACGCAAGTTCATCGCCGTCTCCAACCTGGTGGTCTCCGGGTTCGACGTCATCTTGCTCTTCGTCATTTTGGCGCTGCACGTTGTCCTGGAGCTGTTCTGGGTCCCCCGCGCTTCTGAATCGCAGCGTAGTTCGCTCCTGCGCGCTTAGTGGGTAATGTAGGCCATTGCTAGTTTGTAATTCCCTGACGGCGCCTGGCATCCCTGCGCGCTCGCGAACAAAGAAGTATCCCCACCAGCCGCCTCGCACACCTGGCACCTCCTGCAGCTCTGCCTTCAGTCCCCGGCGTCGCTCCACGGCGTCCTTCGGCGGCAGTTTCGGCGGCCCTTAGTTCGCGCGCTTAGGTAATTAGGGTTGGCTCGTTGCCTTGGCTGACGTCGGACGCCGCCTGCGCTTCCGCTGGCGGCCGCGACGCCCATTCAGAAACCCTGGCCTTCAGAGCTGGCGGAAAAAGGGACGAAGAGACACATCTAGGGAAACCCCTCCCCGAAGGGGAAGAGGGGTTTTTGGAAGAGGAACAAAAATATCGTGAGACCACCTACGCCCAGAGGGCTGGTGGGATATCTGGGGTTTCTTCGCGGCAGTGCGCCGTGCGTTGGCCTTCTTGCCCCAGGGAAAGGGGTCGGGGCCCTCCCTGGGGCTGCGCGTCGCCTTTGCGGCCGGGGGGGTCCTGAGCAGTGGGCCAGCTCCAGGATCGCAGGTCGGTTTATTTGGCCTTCCTGGTTCGTCTGGCGACCTTTGGATTCGCCTCGCAGGTGCCGCATCGTTGGCCCGAGCAGGCTGGGATGGTCGCCCTTCGTTTTCTCCTCGTCTCTTCTGGAAAGAGAGATGGTCGGCTCCAGGAATTCTGGGCCTTCCAAAGTAGGCCTGTTCGCGTCGTGGGGGAAAGGTACTTCGGATGGTTATTGGCGTTTGTCGGCCCCTGGGGAAGCGTTTCCCCGCCTTGGGGCCATCAAACAAGGCCCACGATGAACAGCTGGCTCTGGGGACGGCGTCAAGATCCCCAGGGGCCCGTGTCACGAAGCAGCTGCGACGGCGGAGAGGAGGCATGGCCAGCTCCAAAAATCCAGGCCTCCCAAATGGGGGCCAGAGCAGATGGGGTCGGCGGATCGCGCCGCATCGCCGACGCATCGGCGATGCGGCGCGATACGGAGTCATACTTTCTCAGCCCCGACGTCGCCAGTAATTATGGGCCTACTTTCAATCAGTAGATTGGCCCCCCTCTTATACGGTGCGAGTCGTGCGAAGGCTGTTTCAAATTGGTCGCGCGCCGAAGCAATGTGGCTCGCCCTTGCTGGGGCCCTTTATTGGGCTCCCTCCGAGGCGCGACGCGACACGTGTGAGGAGTGCGCCGGGACGGCCTTGGACTGGAACGGTCCTATGGCCACTTGGACTTAGCAAGCTTCGGAAGGGCCCAGCAAACGAGTGGTTGTGTGATCGCTCGGGCTCTGGTTGGGCCACCTGCGGGGATGGGGCACGGGATTCGCGAGGGGTGCACCGAAACGGTCGGGCCACTAGCCGGGCATCTCGCCCGATAGCTCCCCACAATCTGGGCGCGAAAGAGGCCCCTGCGAGGGCGGATCCTTGTCAGAACGGGGTCCTCGCCTAAGCTCCGCGCGCATTCCTTGCAAACGCGTGCAACCGTCGACCGGCGGCAGACCCTCTTCAACATGGGGCTATCACCTCAGCGCCGCGCGCACTCGACCTGAACGCCTGCGGCCGTTACATGGACGTTGGTCGGTCCCTTTAACAACTGGGGCTCTCGCCTCAGCGCAGCACGTGCGCTTCAACATCTTGCAGCAGTCACAGGGATGCCGGGCAGTTCCTTTTCAAAGTGGGGCTCCTGCCTCAGCGCCGCGAACGCTCGTCTGAAAAATGCGTGCAAGAGGTCCAGGGATGGAGGTCGACTATTTTTAAACATGGGCCTGTCGCTGGATATTTTGCAGATTTGCATAACGGCCAGAAGCTTCAACATGTCATGCAACAGCGACACGGGGTGGGACGGGAGGGTGTATTGCAGCATGGTCGATACATCCTGGGTTTTACTCTGTTCCTCCTTCCCTCCTCCTGCTCATTCTCTCCATTCTCCTCCTCTCTCCTCCCTTCTCTGCCGTCGACGATGGCCCTCCTCCTTCCCCTCCCTCTCCTTCCGCCCCCTCCTTTCCTCGAGCATCAAGGATCGAGGCTTTGAACGTTTTTTGTTTTTCCTTGGGCCTTCAGAGGCCTTCGAAGGCTTCCGTGGACCTCGTAAACCCTTAGAAGCCATTGGAGACCTCTGGCGACCTTTTGGGACCCCGGGGGACCTCCTCCACCTCGTTTTCCCTTCTTCCCTTGCTTCCCGACCTCGGCCTTCGATTCGCCCGATCGCGAAACTCGACCTCACCAGGATACGTACTTGGGGAAGAGCACGCGTCTTTCACGCCAGTGTCCAGAGGGTCTGCGAGCTGCATTCTCCATAGTCATTTTGATCGCAGCCGTCGTCATTATTGTCATCGTTTGGTCATTCTCGTCATTGTTATGGTCACGTGTGGCTTTTTCTGCTCAAGCGATTTCTGTTCGCGTTTTCTACAGGGATCGTGTTGTGGTAATCCTCGCCCAGATGTCTGCATTTGCTGCTCTTCGTCGTGCTGCAGTTCGCACTGTGACGCCGAGGATGCAAGTTGGTGCCTCGTCGGCGGAGGCGTCCGTGGGTCGCAGCTTCGGCACTTACACGAAGTCGTCTTCGCCGGAGACACCGCTGCTGCACTACACTGCTACCCAGCAGGCAACGAGTTCGATCAACCACCGCATCTTCTATGTTAACGTGGTCGCTATGGTGTTCGTCGTCGATGCGGGATCCGCCATGCTGGACATCTGAGCGTGCTAGCTGTGCGGCGAGCAACTGCTAGGGTGGGGCGGGAAGGAGGGTTGGCAGGGAGGTTGGGCTGAGAGGTTCACGGGGGTGGAGGGTGGGGAGGGTCAGCAGGGAGGTCACAGGATTGTGAGTTGCATGGAAGGGTAGCAGTTGCTCGTGATTCGAGAAGAGACCAGCGGCCCAAACTTTTTGTAACGTGGATGCGTCGGGTTTTTGGAAAGATATCGACAAAGTACCCAGTTCCAGCAGTTCCGAGCAATCATCGTCACCATCGTCTTCATTTGCCATAGTGTCGTCGCCCGTTGGCTACTTCCACAGAGTATTGCTTGGACGGCCGTACAGTGGGTCCATCATGCTTGCTGCACAATAGCAAGGGGGGCATGTTTTGATAATACGCGGGTGCATGGTGTGGTAATATTTCGTAGCAAATCCCGCAGAGATGTGCACCTCAAGACAGAGCACGTGACTCGCCGGGACACGTGCGCTTGTGTGGTGCATCGTCGCGGGAAGCGTCTTGTTGGCGATGGTTCGTTTGTGCCTTTCCAGCCATATCGAGCCTTGCTGTGCATTGTGCGAACAGTTCTAACGCTTCGCGTCTGCCTCCCCACCAATCCATCCATAAACAGTTCGCAGGGGAGCTGTTGTGGGAAGGGGAGTATGTGTAGTGGAGCATGAGCGGAAGAGGGGGGGGGGACCAGTCCAACCAAAGACGGGCTCACCCTAGACAGCCCCGCACAGTGGTCATCTCGGGGCCCGCTGGAAGCCTCTTGGAGGACTGCTGGAGCAATCTTGGGGCTCTTTGTGAGGTCCTTGGGGTGCTTGTGCGGCTCTGTCTGAGCCTTGCGGCCATCCTGCGGTGTTGGAGGTGAATAAGCGAAAGGGCCGAATCCGTTGGACAGCTTTAGCTGCTGCAGCACTTACGCATCAAGGGCTGCTTGGATTTTGAGGTGACGCAGCCATGTGCAGCCTCACGAGACAAGGGCATGCACTACGTAGTCAAACGGCCCAGGCATTGCGAATAATCAAGGAACCATTCTGCTTTGCAAGCATGCCCTGTTATCTGCACTGCCGATTCTTTCACCCATATCTGCCCGCCTGTGTATGCTCGCTTTTGAAACCCTTGGGCACTGTAAAACAGGTGGGTGCAGCAGAGCTTACGGGGCAGTACTTTGCAACACATTGAAGGGTACACCCATCAGGGGCACGAGGGGTATGTGCATAGCTCAATGTCAACACACTGAGGGTTTTGCGCGCCGAGCGAGTCGCGCGCCTGCTGACGAGATTCACGTTGGACTGCCGCGAGTTCTCCAGCTGACTGACAGTCTGGGGGTGGCCCCGAGAGAGTCTCAAAGTCATGGATTATCTACACGTCGTTCATTTCTAATCGTGCTCATTTCTAATTGTGCTCGCTTCTAATTATTCCTGGCCCTCCCTAGTGGCCAGAAAGAGGCCCAGGATAGAACAATTAGAAACGAAAGGATCTTGGCCCCCCAAAATCAAAGAACTTCCGAATATTTAGAAATGAACAATGTGTAGGCCTTTGGGGTCTTTCCCTGAGCTGACTCTCTGGCCTTGGCCCGTTGCCCTCGTGACTGTTGCGGTTGCACCGTTGTTGCTGGCTTGCGTCAGCGTCGTAACTACTATCACCATTCTATTCACGCAGAGCGAAGGATTTTCCTCTTGAGGTGCAAACGGCGATGATGACTTGGAACTTAACGGCCGAACCCTCTTCCCCCGTATAATTTTAACATGGGCGGGTTCCGCCGTAAAAAATGCGACCGGACACGGATCCAGCAAATTCGAAATCGGATCCGCGCGGACGGAAATCGGATCCACCGAAACAGACACCGAAGCCACGCTTGGATCCGCGCGAGCTTCATGGGATCCGACGGCGGTTATCTCATACGCGTCTGCTGAAGACTTGAAGCCGTCGTTTCGGGCCCCAGAGGAAAAAAGTTTCGTCCTGGGGATGTAGACATCACTCTTCGTATCTCTGCAGCCAATAATGCTAAAGCAGCAATGGTATAGACTTCTACTCTACCAAGCAGCCGGCCGGTAGGTGGCCAATCCGGGGGGGGGGCCCACCCCACCTGTCCCCCAAGACAGTTCGCAGTCTACCTTTCCTTGCAGCGCTGACGTTCTGTCACAAACGTCCCGCAATGTATGACAGCAATGGGACGGGGCGCACATCCCGTGCGAAAGGGCGAAAGGTCGCTCTCGCCTCGGCACCGTGTTCGTTTTCCCAGAAAGTCAAGCCCTTGGGCGCGTCGCACGTGTATCGCACGCCAAGTCGTCGACGCGCGCGGGACGAAAATGTCGCTCTCGACTCGGCGCCGCGCAGATTTCACATGAAAGTCTGGGCGCGGCGCATGTTTTTCCACTCGCCAAGCTTCGCGGCCCCGCGTGAGCGGGCGACGTGCCGCCGGAGTCCAAGCTCCGTGCACACTTCGCCACGAACTGACGTGCCCGCGCGGGCGCGGCGCATGTTTCGCCATTCGGACTGCATGAAAGCGGCAGCGGCAGCGGGCCGCGCGAGAGTGAGCGCAGTGCTGTCCTCACCCAAGCGCAGCGCAATTTGTCAATCGTGTCGGCGTGGCGCGCATTCTTCGTCTTCACCGCGTTCGTCGGAAGGTTTGACGCTCCCGCTTCATCGCGGCCCGCTGAGTGTTCCCTTCGCCATGTCGTCGGAGACCAGATCGCGCGCGAACGCCCTCCGTTCGCTAGGTGGGAATGCGTTCCAATCTCGCTGTTGAGTTGCGCCACGATTTCCCCAAACCGTGCTTGCATTTAGGGGTTCTCTGTTTCTCCCCAAGGAATGGCGAGGTTTTCTACGTTGCCGCCAGCTGTCACCTCGTTGCCACCTCGTGCGCTGAGTGGGTCCAGCCAGGTTTCGCCACTTTGTCGCGTTGCCGCCTCGTGCGCTGCGTGGGTCCGGAAAGATTCGCCACGCTGCCGCCTCGTTGCCGCCACGTGCGTTGAATGGGTCTGGCGAGGTTTCGCCACATCGCCGCCCATTGCCGCCTCGTTGCCGCTTCGTGCGCCTGCGTGGGTCTGGCGAGGTTTCGTCACGTCGCCACCCATTGCCGCCTCGTTGCCGCCTCGTGCGCTGGTTGGGTCTTGCGAGGTTTCGCGGCGTTGCCAGCCATTGCCGCTTCGTTGCCGCCTCGTTGCCGTCTCAAACGCCGGGTGGGCCTGGCGAGGTTTCGCCACGTTGTCGCCCGTTGCCGCCTCGTTGCCGCTTCGTTCGCTGAGTGGGACCGGCGAGGTGTCGCGGCTTTGCCGCCGGTTGCTGCTTCGTTACCGCCTCGTGCGCTGGGTGGGTCCGACGATTCTTCGCCACATTGCCGCCACGATGCATTTCGTTGCCGACTCGTTGCCGCCTCGTGCGCTGCGTGGGTCGGGCGAGGCTTCGCCACGCTGCCGCCCGTTGCCGTCTCGTTGCCTCCTCGTGCGCTGGGTGGGTCCAGCGGGGTTTCGCCACGTTACTGCCCGTTGCCGCCTCGTCGCCGCCTCGTGCGCTGGTTGGGTCCATCAGGGTTTCGCCACATTGCGCCCATTGCCGCTTCGTTTCCGCTTCTAGCTGGCACCACGTATATTTTCTTTGCATAAGAAGAGAAGGCTCTATCGCCCTCCCCCCTGGACTTATCGATACCCCCGTGGACACAGCAAATTACGTTTGTATCTGCTTCGTCGTTCACTTCCATATGAATTCGTACAATCCTAGGCAGGCCGGGTACCGCTCCCCCCTTCTCTCCCTTCATCCCTGCGAAATCATATTAGGCTCGCACACACACATTCGTGTGTCGCAAGAGATATGTTTCATAATCCCTTGCAACAAATCGTTAAAGTCCACACGTGCAAATGCTAAAGTCATTTCAAGTACACCAGTTTTGCAAGGAATCCAAATAACAAACATCAGAAACCCTTTCAGGTGTTCCATAACAGCTCTTGCAAACTATATGATCGCGTGCATTTGCTGAAATCGTGGGACAGCCATACGATTTTATCAGTCTCGCCCAGCACCCGCATTCTTGTCTCACCACGCGGTGCGTCCACGCTGATCCAGCATGCGCCCCGTGCACAAGTTCGTATCAAATAAAACCATGCGGGCCACACGCGCGCGCCGTCACGAGAGCGTGTCGAAATCCTTCCAACTTGGCTTTCGAAGCATTTCAAAATAGAGCTCCTCAAAAGCATATGAAAACAACACGTTTTTCAACAGGTTGCTGGCAAGGGTTATTGGATTTCCGCGCGCGCACTTCGTTACCATCACTTCCATCAGCGCCGCCGCATCATGTCATCGTCATCGAGAATCGCCGCAATTGTCGCCACCATCGCTCAAGCACCGTCGTCAACGACACATTGATAGCATCATCGTCATTGGCGTTACCAGCATCAGCGCCGTCATTGGCCATGCCGTCGTCATCGTCATCATCGCCACCACCATTGCTAAACTCATCATCGTTGCCGCCGTTGTCGACGTCATCATGATACCGCGCCCGCCCGAGCCACCGACCCACATTTACGTGCACGCGCGCCAGCGCGGTCTTGCACACGCGCTGGGACGTTGCCATCGGTAAGCGCCATCGCCCTGGCATCGGTTGTGCCAAACCAGCTGGCTGCTCTGCGCGCCAGCCCGGCCGCAGAGATGCGCCAGCCATGGCCAAGCAGTCGTCGCAATCGCCGCCGCAAGGGTTTCGCAAACCACGTTACTGGTGGGAGTGTGGGATATTTGCGCGAGCAGGAGAGTTGACAACTCACGAGTTGGCAAAAATGAGCTGCACCACGCAGCATGCACTACATAGCCTGCGATACATGGCTTGCACACCTACGGTGCAATTACTTACTGTTTGGGGTCCACGCTGTTTGAGGTCCACTGGGAGAGAGGGTGGGAATGGGCGGGGCCCGCTGACTCGTGCGAACTAAGCGAGTTTGTTTACTGCTCCTGCTTCCACCGCTCCGGCTGCTTCCACTACAAGTTATTGCTACTATTCCAATTGCTTTGCGTACTGGCACGTGCCACATTTTATTGCGACCAGCTCTGCTGCCGCAGATAGTTCCGAGATAGGCGCGAGAACCCTGACAATTGATATGCAGGGTTGCTCTATCATCGGTGCCTCCAGATGGGTATCACCGTTCGTTGCCCACCGCTGCGACAGATTAGGATGTAGCCAGCGCCACCTTGCTACATTAGTAGTGTATCCAGCACCTCGCCATCATACTTTTTTCTCGTTAGTCACCGCGGGCATCTTGCCATCGTGGACGCCGCGTTAGCACCTCGCCATCACATTTTCTTCGCGTTGCAGAACTTGTTGGCGCATTCTTAAAGCGAGTTTGCGCGGCGCTACGGCGACAACCACATTTTGAAAACGACCTGTCTTCAATTCGTGAAGTTCTTGAAATTTCTTGAATCGAATGTGCGCAGCGCTAAAGGCGAGAACCTCATTTTGAAAACTACCCGCCTTCAAAATGTGAAGCTCTTGCGCATTTTTTGAGATGAATGTGCGCGGCGCCAAGGCGAGAGCCACCTTTTGAAAACCACCCTCCTTCCATGTGTGAAACTGCTGTCAGTTTTTCAACTTCAGGGTCATACATGGTGAGGAAGTCTCTGGCGAGAAGCCCAGCCCGCCCTTTCGGCCGGCCTCGGGGAGCGACGGGGAAGAGCTATTCAAAAGGAATATGAATGGAGGAGGAGGGGAAGGTGGAGGAGGAGGTGGAGAAGGAGAAAGAGAAGGAGGAGGATGAGGAGGAGGGGCCCCCTTCCTTGCCACCTCGCCCGACCGCGCCAGGACCCGCGGGCTGCACTCACCAGCGCCGCGCAGCATGGCCGCACGGGTCCCGAAATGGGCTGCTGGCCTCCCTCCGAGACTTTTGGCCGCATGGCTGGCAGCATCGCTCGTAAGAGGGCTCGGGGATGAGGTAGGATAAGGATTGCGATGATGATGGGGAGGGGGCGGTGGAGGAGGAGGAGGAGCAGGAGGAGGAGGAGGAGGAGGAGGTGGAGGCGCCGATGATGATGATGATGATGATGATGATGATGATGATGATGATGATGATGATGATGATGATGATGATGATGATGATGATGAGGATGAGGATGAGGATGAGGATGATAATGAGGATGATGATGATGATGCTGATGATGATGATGATGATGCTGCTGATAATGATGCTTCTGATGACGAGGATGGCGATTATGATGATGGCGGTGACGATGACGATGACGATGACGATGAAGATGATGATGGTGATGGTGATGGTGATGGTGATGATGATGATGATGATGATGATGATGATGATGATGCCGATGCGGAGGAATCAGTCGAGGATGACAGCGATGGTGATGATGCTATGCTGATGATGACGACGATGAGGAGAAGGGTGAGGATGATGGTCCAACGATGCTGCAACGCACCCTCCAGTTCCAATTTCCTTTCCCATGCGTCAGTGCAGGCGCTCCTTTTCAATACGGGGCGCGCCACTTTGAAGACGAACGTCCCATGGACTTGCCGTTCGTGGGCCTCATTTTCAAACATGGCCGTTCTCTATGGTTCTAGCTGGCAGAGTTTGAACGGCGTATGTCGGATCATGCCACTGTCCAGCGAGAGTCCCGCTTTGAAAAGGGGCCGTTTTTGATCTGGGTACCTGTTGCCAAATTTCCAGAATCGAAAACCTAACATTTTCCAACGTAAGGCCATGCATTTTGAGGTGGTCTCACGCCGGAGCCCCATTTTGAAAGGAAGCCTATCTGCCTCCATCCGCGTAACTGGTGCAAGCTTTCAAGACGAATGTGCGCGGCGCCAACGCGAGAACCACATTGTGAAACGGAACCGCTCTTTATCTGTGTGCTCGTTGAAGGCTTTCTGGCCGAATGTTCGTAGCACTGTTGCGAGAGCAGCATATTGAGCATGATGCGCCGCCCTCCACCCATTTAACGCATACCTTTCGGAAGCTTGTAACACGCACGTGTGCGACGTTAAGGTTCGATCCGTGTGCCTGGGAGAAGCAGCAAGGAGGAGGTCACCCATTGCATCGACAGCCTGTGTACGTCTCGTCGCCTCCAAATTCGGTCTAGCTTTGCGGCTGAAGCGCTTGCTGCTGCACGCAACGTGGATGAATGCTATCTTTCGTTGGTGCATTTACCCTTCTGGACTCAAACATCTTCGTGGACGAGGTGGGCTCTGTATCAAGGTACCCCTTTCGATTGATACCGATTCCGTCTACACGTCTCTCTCCAGCAAGGACTGAGAGACACCTACAGAAAAATATATGGCTGGGCCATATCAGCTGGCTTAGAAAGTTCCTGGAACTCGGGATCATAAGTAACGTGCAGTGGTGTGGGGTCGGGGACATGACGGCGGATGGACACACCAAAGGCCTTTATCGGCATCGCTCTATTTCTACATGCCATGGATGGACATCAGAGTGACACGCGCGAAGTTCAGTTATTTGCGCTGTATCGTAATAGCACTCCTACTGCCAATGCGTGAAACCGCTGTTGTTCAAATGTCTTGATGGACCCTTGTGGTCTGAGAGATTGCACAGCCGCGGCCACCAATTGCATAAGAGGGGCCCCCCTCCTTCTGGCCCCACCAAGAGTCGTCGTGGAACCGCGACCGGTAACAGTGAGCGCGTGCCCGCGCTTCTCTTGCTTGTCTTCTTTCGTTGCATTTAGGTGCTGAGCTTGCCTCGCCCCTGTTGCATGTAGGTGCTGAGCTGACTGGTTTATGGAAACATGACCCAATGCTTCGCACCCTCGTCTTTTTTCTTGCCTCTTTGCATCAGTGGTATTTGAACCCGTCGGTTACCTCATACTTAGGCGATTGCTTTGGGCCAGCAATAGGGGCAGCAGCGATCAGGCTTCGCCCCCCCCCCCGCCCCTCGATTTTGAGGGAATGTCCCAAGGGGGGACATAGCATGCTTGCCTATTCTGCTGCCGTCACAGATCAAATAATGCGTCGCCCTGTTTGCCAGTGTTGGCGACGCCGCCTGCATTCGACCCGCAGCGCTGGGACTGAAAAGGGTTCTTTCCACCTGCCGTCGCCATCCTTCTTCACATACTTGTCTTCCATTCCTATACATACATGGCGTGTCTCCCTTGCTTCAAACTTCTTGGGCCGTCTTGAGCCGTCGGAAGGCCATAAAGGAGCACCCCCCGAAATCCTTCAAACACGTAAGGAGAATTCGCGACTTCTGCTTCTTCGGGCCTTCCCCGATGTCTTCGTGGAGGCCTCTTGGGCCGTCTTGGAGGCCCTTTTTGGTCCGTCTTGGGCCATCTTGGGGCCATCCTTGGTGCATATTGGGCCGTTCAGGAGACGTCTGGAGTCCATCTAGGGATTTTTCAGGGCCAGATTGGTCGTCTTTGAGGCCGTCTGACCCGTCTTGGAGGTCAGCTGAAACCGACGTTTCTGCGGTTTTCTGGGAGGCCGGCGCAGTAGGCCGAGGCTCCATTGGGATTCGCCCAAAGGTGCCACAGCCAACCAAGCGTCGGGCACGCCAGGCACCCCTCTGCAAACGAAAGGGGGCGGCGGATAGAAGACGTCTACAGCAAATCACCGCCGCCCCCTGTCTTTTGGAAGCGACAATGTGGCCGGATCATGCGTTCCCCCAGACGTTGTGGAACGATTCCAGGAACACGTCGGAGAGAAAGGAGAAACAGAGAGATCGGAGAGGTCTCTTCGAGCTTTCCTGGAGGCTCTGTCGGAGTCCTCTTGGGGACCGTTCTGGCCGTCGTGGGCCATCTCGGGGCCATCTTGAGCCATCTTGGGTGTATCTTTGGCCGTCTTGGAAACATTTTGATGCCATCCTGGGTTCTCTTGGGGCCGTCGTGGACGTCTTGGATGCATCGCGGAGACCATATTCAGCCATCTGGGCCGTGTTGGATGGGAAGGCCGATGACCACGGAATTTTACGGTTCCTTCTGCGGTGCTTTGGAGGACATCTTGGGGCTGTCTGGAGCGGGACGACCGATGGCCATGGAAGTTTACGGGCCCTTATGTGATGCCTTGAAGGCCAGCGGGATGACCGATGAACTGGGAAGTTTACGGAACCTTCTGGGTGGCCGGCGGGATCAGCAGAAGGGTCACTGGGATTGTTGAAAATGGCCAGCAATCAATTAAACAACCAAGCGACATCAATGATTTTGGCATCCTGGGGGGCGTCTTAGGGGGCATCTTAGGGGCAACCATTGAAGCCCTCTTGGGGCGTCTAAAGGGGCATCTTGGGTGCCGTCTTCACCTTGGTGCCATCTAAAACTCTCCTTAGGGTCGCGGAAGCGATTTTTCCCGTTCTTCCTCGTCTTGCGCGTCCTTGCGGGCTTTTGTGGGTCTTTCCAGGTGGCCCGCGGTCTGGGCCGAAGGCCCCCGGGGGAGGGGGTGAAGAGGAGGAGGAGGAGGAGGAGGAGGAGGAGGAGGAGGAGGACGAGGAGGAGGAAGAGGAGGAAGGTACCCCAATACATAATGGAGCAGTCTCAGAACTTTTGAACATACTCAGAACCTATCTAACATTGGGCGCGCCGTGCGCCCCTGTGGCAAGCCACAGGGGGCGGCAGATCTAGTGGCCTTCGGCCCATTCCCCCCCCTTTTCGCTAGCCGTCACTAGTGCGCTTGAGGCGACGGTGTGATCCACCTCTCGAGCCGCCTGTGGCTGGAGGTGCGCCAGGCTGTAGTTTGTGCACTTCTTCCGCGGCTCTGGCTTTCCGCCTTGCCTCCGCTGGGAGGTCGTGCGGCGTGTTCCAGCGCACGTGTATCACTCGGAGCCCTCCGCTCCCCGAGCAACAAGCCTTCGGCCCATTCCATCACCGTGCCTGGGTTGTGGACCAGAGGCCTCTCAGATTTCTCTTCTTGGGGTCTCTTGGGGTGCCTGCGGCCCGTGTGGGGCCTCCTTTGGGCCTCCTGCAGCCCTCTTGGGCGCCTCTTGAGGGCCTTTGGGCTTCTCGGGGGCGACTAGGGGTCTCCTGGCGATCTCGGAGGCCCATTCCCCCTCTTGCGCCTCGCTGTGGGCCATCTTGGGTTTTGGCCCTCTTGGGGGCCTCGAGGGCCGTCTCAGGCCCTCGTGGGGGCTTCCAGTGTCGTCTTGGGCCCTTTCAAAAACGTCTGGCCGAGCATGCGAACATGATAGAGCCATGCATTTTCCATTAACTTTGGCCTGCGGGTTATCCACGACAGCCAAAGATGCGCCGAGAGGGTTCCAGGACGATCTCGGAAACCATCGTAGGCCGTGTTGTAAGTATGGGATCCCGACTACGCCCCCGAACTCTCTAGAAACGTCACGTGGGGCGCCCCAAAAGTCACAGGCCACGCGCCAGCAGATCCCTCTCTGGAGCCGCTGGGCTTTCACAGAGTATGGCAACCTCCGATACAGAGAACTCGAAGGAACCCAAGGACACTCCACGCAGTGCTTAGCGGCACCGTCGCCTACTTATAGAGCTCAATACAGAGATCCCGAATGGATCGGATGACCCTTCGCTCAGTCCATAACAGCGCGGTGGCAGATCAAGGGGAGAGGCGGTAGTAGTCTTCCGTTTGAAGATTTGTAGGCGATGGGGAGGTGTGTGGGCTAGGGAGGGGGTGGTGATGCTGATTATGGTGAGGATGACGATCATGATGATGATGAGGAGGAGGAGAAGGAAGAGGAGGTGGATGATGATGATAATGATGATGAGGATGAGGATGCCGATGCTGATGAGGAGGAGACAGGAGGACCAGGAAGAGGACGATGATGAGGATAAGGATGCTGAGAATGCCGCGTTTTGGTGATGGCGATTGTGATGATGCCGACGGTAGTATTGTTGACAATGATGGCGGTGTTGGTGCCTGTCGTGACGA